TCTTACAACTTAGAACAGGCAAAGAGAAGTGGTGTTCACCAGACGGGCGATCTTCCAGTAGTACCTATGGATTGAAAGATGTAGAGACGGAACACTTTACAAATAGATTGATCATGCTGATGTAAGTAAGTTCTTCTTCCCTTCGAACTCTTCTGAATGTCATAGAGCGATATCGCTCTTTCATATCAAAGACAAATAGAAACTGTTAAGAATAATTATAGCAAGGCTATCACATATTTATTAACGGAGAAGAGACTTTCAAAGCATTCCTGAGAGGAAGAACTAAAGGCGTTTAGAAATTTTTGAGCAAGGAAAAAGCGTCCTTTAGCAAAGAAATTAAACGGAACCTACTTTTGGACGTGGGCTTCCTAATAGAAAACAGTCGAAAACGACTTTTCCACCCACAAGAACTCGAATGTCACCAAACACCTGTTCAATACGGAAATTTTACAGGAGTATTTTATAGCTACGGTAGCTGAAACAGGCAGCGCTAGGGAGATTCGAAGGAACTCCTTCTTTGTTGAAAACACTAGAAGTTTTCTAATTCTACAGTGCCGAAAACATTACTAAAAATCGTGTCCTGCCTGTTTGCCGACCTAAATGACTTACTTCAATTCTGGTGCAGAGTTAAACAGATTGTGAGCGTCCTTGTTGTTTGGTATCTTATAAGCGAGATGATTGACCTGCTGAAAATTAACAGTTATCGATCTGGTCATTTGTGTACGAAAAATCAGCAGTAGTGGTCCAGAATCCGGATGGACGGTCACGAAAATTTACGTCTGAACTCTCCAGAAGAAGAACTGCGCACATTTTTTGGAGTTGTAGACAGAGTAAATACTAAATGAATACCGTACACCGCACTTGATTTGTCAAATGAGTGCATTTCCGAAACTGTGAACTAAAAGGTATTGAAAACAAAATTCTGTGGAAGAGATGGAAACATTTAAAACATTCTAATAAGGTCTTCTATGCGGAAATACAGAATTTGAATATTTCTTGTATCTCAGTCTTCCTCTGAAAGTCGGGATATCTGAGGGCGACTGCAATCAACCGCGTACAAGACGATAATTTCACAGTTTCTTTCATATAATGTTGAACCATTATCTGCATAGTAAAGTTTTCCGAAATCAGTACTTCTCTTCGACTGGTATTTTGATGGCTGGACAACATTTTTTTTACCCTTTGTATTACTAAGGACGTGCTAGGTCGCACCTGAGTCATAGCCAAAGGTAACTACAGACCCATGATGATTTCAGGTTTGTAACCTCTAGACTTTCTCTCAAGATGGAGACGATTCCTTGCAATGATTTCCTCCTGATAGGCGATCTGAATGAATATATAGAGCTTGTTGTCAATATCAGTGAACATATTAACTGGATGGACACACAGGAATACTATCTTGTAATCATTAGGTATCTAATAACGGATCACTCATGACAAATTAAATAAAAATGCCTTAAACAGAAACCGATATCCCTTTTCCTGAAATTTTGCCGTCTCAGTGATGACACGTTGGCATCAGAAACAATACGGAGCTTTTCCCCCGTTTTCCTGCAAATATTCCCCATCTGCCTTTGTTTTTGCTTATTTCCTCCAACGTTTGCTCTTCTAACGGACACTGTTCTTCCATCGACTTCCAAATAATACCTGCGAGGAGATGGCTCGCTAAGGAAGACCTGACTCGACACGAAGGCGAAACTGCCACATCGAGACGAATAACAAGAGTGGATCATCGACTCGCATCATCGAATCGAAGACAAAGACGTCGAATCGTTAGCCGAAAGTAAATATATTTATCAACATCGTGTAAGCTCATCAAAGAAGGAATACACATTGATTAGTCACATCGGGGTTTAAGGAAAGTCGCTCTCGAAAAATACCTTGGGGAATTTTCCAGTGGCGTAACGAAATACAAAAGGATATATTTCTCACATTCGCTGGGTTTTACACAAATTTAAATGCGCTCACAATTAGGAATAACATGGATTTTCAAATTTAACCTGCATCGAGTGAAAAAAACCATTAGAACATCTGCACTGCCTTATAAATATGACACATATGGCATATACGAAATGGGTACCCACCATGTGTTAACTCTTGTTTAGAACAATATTTCGGTAATTCGTGCCAAGGTTACGTAAAAGTCGGCTTTTTAAAGCAGATGAGCAGATAGACAAAACACATCTGTGTGTACAGAAGTAGTCCAAGTAGTTTCTTAAAAGATGGTCTCGTAAATATTGAAAGAAAGATTTATCCTGTAAAATTTTCCACAACAGAAATTTCTCGCATAGCGACCCAGCTCCTTACGACTTTCGCTCATGACGGCTCGTAAGGTTTTTTGTGATTCTAAATTTCTCGTAGCTGGATTCCGTGATAGCAACGCTGTACTTCTTCAATCTCAGGTGACGATGTTGGGAAGATGGAAACCCGTCGTAGACACCTCATGCACATCCATTGTCGCTCACTACCACCCACCACTCCTTTCGTTTTTTTCACCTATGACGGACTGGCAAGCCACATAAGGCCCTCCAGAGAAAAACGAGCTTATTTTTGTGGCGCTTTTTAACAAGGGTCCATCTCTGTAGCACATTTAGCAGTAGACCTCTTAAATCAAGTACAACCAAAACTTTGTTTAGCAGAGCGACACTACTTATCTCTCGATCACTAATTCGTTGATCAATTCCACCAGGATTAAACTTCTCAACAATTTTGAAACAGAACCTCTTAAGCTGACACGAGGTTGGTACAGATCTTCGTTGTCGTTGTCGTTGTTTTTGATGTTATTGATCGATGGCTGACGTTTCGGCGACTTTGCCTTCCTCAGAGCCTGGACTTATTTTATGTTAGAATACTTTCTATTATTCGGTGGAAAAGAAGGTTGAAGTGTTAATGAAGATCAAACTTTCAAATAGACGCCATATTGAACAGAAAGGCCACTCACTGTGGTGTTACGTGCGGGACTGGCCCACACGTAGTTCACGTGGAGTCGCGAGCAAGACACCCCAGGGGTTAAAATATCATTTTGAAATAGGGCGCTAGGTCATGCGTGATAGTGAGGCAATCGTCTTTCCGGTTCATCTTTGGATTTTTGAAATTTATCCAAAACGCCTCAAGAGTTTTACGCGTTGATGTTTTTGATTCCTGCGCTAGGATCCGCACATTCACTTCAAAATCACCGCCGTTGTGCTTTTGTGCCCTATGCGTACCTAGAGTGGTGTTTAAACGGATTTTAGCATTCCCATCTAGATGTTCTTTTATGCGGACACAAAGTGGTCTACCCGTTTCCCCGATATATTCCTCGCCGCATGCATTACACGAGATCAAGTATATTATACCTAAACTCATGCAATCCCCGTCTCTCCCGTTAGGACAGATCATACAGTTTTCTGAGCTGCACAAACGATCATAGAGACGGTTTCGAACTAACTGGCGGCGTAGGGTATTGGGTGGGATGTCAATAATCGCTACATAATTTTCACGATCTTAAGCACTTTTTAATGGCGTGACTTATTTCATTTGATATGAAAGGTGGCCGAGGTTTATAGAAAGTCGGTCTTTTGAATTTTGAAACCGACCGTCATTTAACCTCGGTACTATAATAATCAACATTTGTTGATATTGTTGAGCTTACAAGAGGTTCATATGAGATGTTTAACCGGCTAACGTTTGACGTCTTTATCTTCATTAGAGCCGACGATCCTTGTAGATGGTCCGCAGTTGTTCCTCTTCTTGATGTGGCGTCCTCGTCTCGCATCGGACCGGATCAGTTAATGGGATAAGATATTTAAGAAAGAACACGGTTGAAACGTTACAGTAATAATCTTAACCGTTTTATTTACTGCCTATCCTTCTTTAACGGCATCGCAAAATATAACTTTAATGATGCTGAGATATTTGCAAAACTCGTGATAGCAGGTGCCTGCGGTGGGAAACAAACGCGTTAATATCCTCTTCGGAGAGTAATACGTTCACCACTACACCATGCGGGTCCTTCGTTTCGCTTGTCTCTCAGTTAGTTCTATCGATCTTTTGCCATCAGCAATCGCCCGTCAGCGGGATTGATCTGGTGAGCCCAAACCGGCAACGAACCCAGTTAAGCTGAGGCTGCAGTCATAATCACAATCTCAGTCACGCCCAAACGGCTAGTTCGCCTAAACGCAAAAACAGACTACCAACCTGCACCGTACTCAACATCATATCATGCAGAGAGCCCTCGTCAATCACTGATTATCATTTATGAAAAATTTTTTGTATATTTCGACAAGAATGATAATTCTTTGTTTGGGAAGGAAATCAACATCTGCATGGATACTTGAGCGTCCGTCCATCTTCAAGAATCTTGCTGATAGAGCTATCACGTCATCCACTAGTTTCGTTAAGTCTCAGTAGTCGCCTTCGAAGATGATCTGCTTTGTACAAGGCACATCCAAAAAAACTAGCGACTCCGTGGTCCATAAACCCTCTTCGGATGTGAATACAGTTCGTTAACAATGACCAAAAATAGCACCGACCGTCCTTCGCCACCTTACCGTAGGTTTCGTCGTCAAATAACCAGCCCTACGCCTACGCTTATCTTCTAATATGTGGGTTTTGATCCATCACTCTCAAAGGCTTGATATTTGAAAAAGACTTCACTTTAAAGAGCTTGATAGACTGAGTTCACATTGTGTGCGTCTGCATATTCCAAAATGAAGCGATCAAGCAGCGAATGGGTGATGTGTAGAATTGTCGACGTCGTTTAATTTTCATTCGTAGTTGTGTGCTGCTCAGAATATTATTCTCAAATAAGTGGAAGCACAGAACTTTTTATGTGTCAGTGTCTGTGTGTGTCTGGGTGTGTCTGGGTGTGTCTGGGTGTGTCTGGGTGTGTGTGTGTGTGTGTGTGTGTGTGTGTGAAGACAGTTGATATATATGTGGTAAACCGTGAATATATGGATGAACGCTTTTATCAGAAAAGAAATACATGACAACTAATAAAAGTCATGCTCTGCGCAAGGCTTTCATAGTGTGAAAAAATCTATCCTTTCATATGACGTTACTGATTCGATAACGTAAAACGGTTGTGGCAGCACGAGTTTTGCTTTAAGTAATCGCAGGGACGATGTTGCAAGTAGATACCAAAGATGTCCCGACAGTTTCCACAGCGCAGAATCTGAACATTTCGATACATAGAAGCGACCTAAAGAAGTTAGCTTTTTGAGAGTTTGACGCTTGCCTGTAGTCAGTAGGGCGCTTATCGCTTCCTGTTTTGATTTCAACTCCTGGGTATGTCGATAGCAAAGCCTCTCATGTTGTTTTCGAGCACAACTTCAATTCTAGATCCAGCCGGCGCCTTAAAGGATTCTTTTATTATTATTATTCCTGTTCCAGTCTAGAACAAAGTTTTATGCCTCAAGCCAGTAGTTGCACATAGTGAATTCATCGCTTGTCCTTCCACCCACTGTATCCGTAAGCCTCTGGAAGGACAAGCGATGAATTCACTATGTCTTGAAGTTGCCACCAGTGTCTTATTGCAACCTGTTGACTGAAAAAGTGATCATTACATTTGTATAAACTTCAAGACAAAAATGGTTTAAGCGAGAATTTTTTACTCTTCTGTGGCAAAGGCTTCTACCACAACCGCTAGGACAGATGCATCTAGCGCAGGCCCTTGGATGTGGGAACCCACCGTTTTGGCAGGTAGCTGAGGACGGTGCATTGCATTTATCTAAATTGATTTTGTGTTAGGCTGAAATGTTACGGAAAAATGAAGGAAAATCGTATTTCTTCAGAGATTTTTCTAACCTAGGCATTTATAGTGCATGTTCATCATAAGTTTCTCGTAGAATGAAATTATTGGTGATCCAAGGGTTTGCGTATATTTAACCATTGTAGTCTCACTGCACTCCCACTTTGAACAGACTTTCTCCAAGATCCTCTCTATGATTAGCCGTCTCATCGTGACTGGATGGTGTTCCTGGGAGTCGGGCTGCCGCAGAGGGGTTCATCCCTTCAGCAAGCTCTCCTAAGCTGAAAAGGAGTCCGGCATTTCAATTAGATAGCCCAGCTAAGACTAAGCCAACACCAGGATCTGTCGTCGCCAGTCCTGGTACGAAATTAGTCACATGGTAACAAATCTCCCCCTGACCCACATGGACTGGGACCGCCTGTGGTGGTAACGACCTAGAGCAGACTTTGCCCAGGCTGTCCTCAGGACTTCAGGGAACCACGATGGCTGGACGAGCAAAATTCCGAAAAAAAGGAAATTATGCTTACCCGCAGAACTGGTAAAGGTGGGTCATTCAAGTATCCAAGTAGGTACTCCAAGGAAGGTGAGGTTCTCAACAACGGAAATTCTCAACAACAACGGAAATAGCGAACCCCTTTTAAGTTAGTTGATTTAAGTTAGCTTAAATACTTACAACAAATAAACGGTAGATGTTTAAATGAAGCTGTTTCTTATGAGAATACAAATTTATTTGTTAAGTTTTATCTGCTAAGGTTATGAAAGTGTTTGGCTGGGTAGATCGCATCTCAATTTAACCTTTCCAGGCTCTGAAGAAGGCGAAACCGCCGAAACGTCGGTTATTGTATCCTAATAAATCCTACAATAACAACCTTGTGTCTGCTTATTGAAGAAAAACATCGAATTATCAATCAATGCCGAGGTTAAAAGAAAGTCGGTCGTGGGAAGTCTACAAACACCCACAAAGCAAAGGTTGCTACGGTTGAATCCTAATTCTCCACTGCAAATGAGACAAATTTCTTTCAATTTATTGCCCCAATGTCCACATTTTAAGACGAATGAACAAGCGGGATTTCAAAAACCACAGTATCGTTTATGCTTGGAGCTAAGGCCGCTCCGATAGAAATTTGGAAAACATGCAGTTCGTCATCAGTTTTTGAAAGTTTCCATTTTAAGCCTAGCAAATGTAAAAGAACACTGTAGAAAAGCACATATTTGTCTTACGGTGTAAAGCAAGGTATTTTCTACAAACGCATAGTGATTTGGACTTCGGGAACACTCTAGTGATCCAGAAATCAATGCTAGCTGTCGGAACCTGTTTAGTTATGGTGCAAATCACTGTCAAGTTCTGCTCCTTGCCACCATTCCACACAAATAATCAAGCCGTCTACCCATGTGGTTCACCAAATTGCCAGCCTTATTAGGGCGAATAGAATTACTGAATTCATATGTGTCGTCTCCTTGCAACTGTCGGCCCTCATTTCCTCCTCCTCAACCAGTAAAGTGTATCCTATACTTTAACCAGAAAAGTGTATTCTATACTAGTAGTCTTCTTCGACATCGCTCTCCTTAAGATGACGACTGAACTTTATTCTTTCTTTTTTGTAATCCCAGTACAGTAGCATGGCCCATATAAAACAGTGGTTAAAGGTGCACCGCAATGCACACATGGTCTTTGGTTCGATAAATGTGCTCCCGGCTCATTAAAGCATCGATCCCTCCAGGGTCTGCAACCGAACTTTCCTGGGAATATAGCGGTATTAACTTGGCACATCGGTAATTCTCTGGAACGCACTGTATAGGCGATCTGTGCATTCAATCACCTCAAACGATGCTTAATGAACTCAAATGCACAGCGCATCCCTAAAAGATTGGTCAACGCCCAATGTTTTTTTTCTAATTCTTAACACTAACGTACACGTATTTCCTGACCAGTTACTTCCTTCTTTTCTGTTACTACGAAAATCTGAGACCATATTGTAGTGATACGTACTCGAACTGACCAGCACATGAACTACCTGCAAGAAGGACATCGATTTTTGGAAATAAAGCGGACACCATCGCGGGAGAAAAGGATTTGGCAAATCGGTTAACCAGTTTCCTTGAAAAATATTTTTTTTTGGTGGTCGCTGAGGTCACAAGTTACATGAAATAAAATTAAGTTGTGGCCGGAAAATATGCTGTCAAAATCACCTATATCACCTTTAGTCCCATTGATCGTCGAGTGACTCAAGAGCTAGTAAATCTTCTATTTTTCCCTGTCGCTTGCAAGACTAGCTCAGAGAGCTCTTCTCGTTCTTAGCGTGAAAATACGTCAACCTATCTATTCTGCTATAACGGCAAAAGATTTGGTATTGAGTATTAGGTGTTGGTCAATTTCCCATGGATTCCGTATGCATTTCGACTGCATTCGTGACCAACTGCATACTTAGTCTATTCAGTGATTTATACACAGGGGATTCCTATTTATTAAGTAGGTGTTGTCGTCATCCGAGGCACTCTTGGCAGGTTTGTACAGCAGTCCTGGGTTAACGACCGATTCGAAATATGAACGCGCGATTTGCAGTCCTTGTCTTGACAATGCTGACGGAATTTTTTCTTTATTTTCGTTCGGCACGGCATTTATAAACGATATGTTTAGAATCTTTCGATCGTCGTTTCATAAAAAGCAACAAACTTTCACACCAAACCATTACAAAGAGGTTCAATAATGAACAGTAAGTTTTGGTAACACATTAGTAACTTTCCACGGTGGGATGAAAAATGCGAGCGAGCAGTGCAATGGTTAGAGATGTCCTGCAATATACGCAAGATCTTTGGTTCAATTCCTTGTCAGGGGAAAATGAAAGCCTTTGTTTTCCAGAGGTCGTAAAATTGGGGGCGAACCAGTTACTAGAAATAGTATTACTGTCGTGATACATCGATGGGTCTCCACAAGGTTCTCTATAGTCTCAGTTCTCGTTCAATCTCTTCTACGACGCTACGAATGGGATCAAGTGCATGCTGATTTTGTAAGGAATTGGTAATAGCTGAATTTTTATCTTTATCCTTTATTGGCGACTTTTACACGCAGACCGAAACTAATCGGTATTCGCACTGCTTCCATTCCATATCTTAACACGTTTAATTATGAAAAATCAATAAAATATCACTTCTTAAAAGGCCGTTCCAGTACATGTTATACTCAATGGGCTTTTCTGTTAATGAAGAATAACAGTTGCCAACGTGTTATTCGCTCTCTTGACATCTTCATCTGACATCATCGGCGGTTAAGGGTACAACGGCGTGTCGATTTCGGTTAAGGGTGGGGGAAATAGCGTAACTGTGGTTCAGTTCGTTATTAAGCATTATTTCCAGTAAAAACAAGCCCTTGAAGAATTGTCTTCAGAGTGAATGAATGACATCATTTTTTCGTTAGGAGTAACGACCACTAGGATGAGTACTGTTTCCCACTTGCTTATTCTAGACGTAGAAAAATCTTGTCTCAATCAACTGAAAAGCATTTTCTTTCAGCTCCATGTGGCAAGTTATGTTATCCAACAACTGAATGAATGTTAAAATAAGCTATATATATAAATTTTTAATCTAAACTGGACAATTAAATACATACATACATAAAAGGATAAAGGTCTCAGTGTTGATCAATCCCTGAGGCATGCCCCATGCATTCGACTTCATTAAGCATCGTTTGGAGGTGATTGAATGCATATCTAGCCTTTACAATGACTCACGGTGGCCTGCCGATGTATCGAGCTAGTGCTGCTATCCTCCCAGACAAGTCTGGTACCAATTTGCCCATCCCGGCAGGATGGGAGGCTTGGGGCGGGCAGTGGGGGCGGGAATCGATCCTGCGTGTGTCTCAGTGATGTCACCGACCACGGCCCCACACGCGCCCTGTTTGAGTGTGGAAAGTATGTAATAACGAAGCGAAATTCTTGCCTTCCCGATGGAGAACTCGAGACAGAACTGAGGTCTTGAACTTTTTTCAAGAACTCCTTCTCCTTCAGCAAACATGAGCGCTACCGAGCAAAGTAGTGTAAAATAAGCAGAGGAAACAGAATTCACCACGTTGCCCACATGTCATCCGATTAGAAAATTCACAGCCCAGTAAATAGAGATATAGCCATAAGAAAAATTACTGGATGGGGTAATGAAAACGTGAGCGATTTATCCAAATGCAGACATGCTGATATCGAACTGATTAACGACAATGGATGTCGAATTTACATCTGAAGCAGGACCACTGCAGTAGGATGTTCACAAGAAGCCTTAAGCGGTCAGCTCTAGACGTTCCTTGGTTTAAAATAAGCGTAAAACTGGTTCATGAACAACTGGAATGAATTTATACGTCCAATGGTTTCACGATAATTCTAGCAATGAGTAACAATGATGTGAAGACAGAGCAGAAGTGAAATTCGAGTGGAATAAAATGTAAGACCGAGAGAAAATGACAAAATTGAAAAAAAAAACAAAATATACATGTCTTGTATAGAAATTGCTGGATGTTGGCAGGCGAAGAGGATCAGCTATGGAAGCAGAACATTTTTAATTCAGAACTCTACCTTCTTGATGAGCAAGTAGATATTGGAGTCCAATTCGAAGCCGTGAAGGTTGAACGCCTTAAAGCTCACATGACTCAGAACACCAGCGCCGAATTAAACATTAATGCTACATCAATCAAGGTCTTGATCCAAGGTAAATCTCAGTAAGCGCACAGCAGCAGCACAAAATAAGTGTTGTTTTCGAAACCAAGAAAAAAAATGTGGAATTTCAGACTCAATTCCGGTTCAATAAATATCTAGGAAGGTTTCGACTCAAACAGAACACAGGTTCGATATAAGAGTAGCCTCTATATTCCCCAAATTTCAATGCGTGTTACTTTGCTAAGAAGCAGTCAGATGTTTAAATGTTACACAGAAATCCCACCATTATTGGAACGCTTACCAACGGTTGTCGAGCACTCGAAAAATAACTCAAAACTTTTCAAATTGGAAACAAACCATGCCTCTCATTTTAGCATCATCAACAAGCCTCCGATGGACGCCTACGCAGCAGTACAGGTTCCATCCGATCCCCAGTCTTTGCCCTCTATCCGGAAATCTCGTCCAAACATAACGTATTCGAATTGTGCAACCCGCGAATAGTTCGCCTGGAACGAACATTACCACTGATGTGACTTGTTCTACAGCTATCGGTAGTTCAACTGTCACAAATGTACAACTAGCAAGGTTATCACACAACCCACGTCCGATTGCTTCATGAACAATGAATCACTAAGACGTCAGAGAAATTCTATACAAAAATAACAGCACAGCCTTCCTCCGCCATCGAATCTGTAGAGAACCGAAAACGACATTTAAAATCCGAGAAACAGTTCCCCATTCCCAAGCGCAATATTGTTGGGAAAACGATTAAAACGTACACGCTGCCTTCCCTGATATGTGCAGATCTTCATCTTTGAAAACGTAGGTTCCTCAACGGCTTCTGGCGACGACTGTTTCATGTTGAAGGTCATTGCTAGTACGAAGTGCTTAGAGAAGTCCTCTTAACGCCGACATAACTTGATGGCACTACTTTACGCGCAACAAGAATTCAAGTGCAAAGCCATAGTAGTAGACAAGCTCATCCATTACCTGAGCGTCGTGTTCTCCTTGGTAGGGCATCTCATCGCCGCGAGCAGATGTCGTGATCATCAGTCGAAACTCATCGTTGAGAATGACGGGTTGAATTTGGGTATTGACGTCAAAAATCAACTTCATACTAAAGTTACACAAGATTCTCTATTGAAGGGCGAGATACACTTGCATTTGCAGCTCTACAACTGTCCTTCGTTCCAAAAACGGACTCGAATGGAACACTCCGAGTCGCAAAACGGTCGCGAGCGCTCATCGAACATCTTGCCGTCGAGATCGACGCTCTCGACCATAAACATACAGTCTAATATCAGGTCTGACATGACTGCTCAGGACTCGTTCAGAACGAACGAAGAGCCATGCAGAAGTGAGTGCTGAGCACAAAAGCGCTGCACGCCGACCTACCTCACTGCACTGAAGTTGACGGCAAGTGTGCTGGATGTCGGCCGATCGCACCACACAGGACAGTAAAAGTCTCAATGTGTGCAAGGTATGCTATTGACGCTCTTGTGACCATTGCGGGTATTGTGGTGACGTTATGCGAGTGGCCCTATGACATGTATAGCTGTACTATTCTTTTCGGAAGATTATTTTGGTGCAAAGAAGTTCTTTAGTAGACGTCTTGCTGTCAAACAATGCCCTATCCATCGCTGCAGACGTAATCTGTGAAGGACAACATCCCGTTAGTAATTTCTCTCTCAACAATTCATGGAGAACCTCTTCTCGGGGAGCCTTATTCCGTAGGCGACGGACCATGGACTGTGGTCAGCGAAGACACGAAAAAGCTCCACTTGTTAAACGCTGGATTCGACACTTAGGCAGAGTTTTTCTCTGGAGTAAGGCAATAGATCATCGAGAATACTAAGCCTCAAAATGGCTAAGTGTTGGCAGGGCACGCGTTTAGTGGTGTGTTTCAACAGGTTTTGTCTTTGTAGACATCTATGAAGTCTTTTTACTACAACGACAACAGATGTGTCGAAAACTGTTGCTAAAAACACTTCGTGCACAACTTTCATTGTATAGTGTAAACATGAATACATGCAATTTCAATGTGCTATGTATGAACGCCATTCTCTACATAGAAGCTCCAGTGCTGGGTGCCTCGGTCCAATGGGTGTGTTCTAGAATTTTGATCACGGCTGCTTTAAACCAAAAGTTTAACACATTCCATTTCTTCGACTTTTCTCGAACAGTCAACATCATCGGTGGAAACTGTGATGTGGTTGTGCAGTAGTAGGCAAAAGTACTATCTGCGAACGAGTTAGGTCTTCGTCAGTGGGGGACCAAGTAGTATGCCATTCTTTACGTATAATTTACGTTAAACGTATATTTGGGACTTCTTTCAACTAATACATTTCGTGCCTTATTTATTCCTTTTGCGATTTTACTCCTTAAGAAAGAACGGATTTCAAATATGAATCGCAATCACCGTAACCCCAATATTTACAATTACACGTCACCCATAGCACTACTCGGATTGAAGTCATTCTAAACTTTCAGTAAATGTGAGCACTTTTGAAATGATCGGAGAAGAAACACTTGTTGCATTGAACCTTCACCCTTCATCTCAAATGATATAAGTGCAGCTATAAAACGCTGTTTAAGAAGGGCGGGCTTAGAGAATTCGGTGAGCGTAGTTGAAATACCACCGAGTAATCTTAAGCGCCAGCTAGTTTGCAACCGCCTATATGACCGTCTATGTGCAGCTCAAAATTGCATAATTTGCCCCGGTGGTAGAGACGGTGATTGCATGAGCTCGGGTATAGTTTATCTGATCTCCTGTAAGACGTGTGGTGACGAATACATTGGCGAAACGGGTAGACCTCTCTGTGTCTGCATGAAAGAACACCTAGCCGGCAAAAATAGACCAAATACCCCGCTAGGCACGCATAGGACCCAGAGACATAACGGGGACGACTTCGAAGTATGTGTCACGATACTCGCACGCGAATCAAGAACACAGGCGCGAAAAACTCTCGAGGCACTCTGGATTAACTCCAGAAATCCGAAAATGAACCGCAGGGAAGAATGCCTCATTATCACGCGTGACATAGGGCAGTATATAAAACTGCTTTTCTGATGTGAGGGGCACATTGTACTTTCACGTGATTTCTGTGCGGTTGGTTTCTACGTGACATACTTAGTGGAAACCTCATAGAAAGCGGCTCTGAAGAAGGCGAAATCCGCCGAAACATCAGCTTAATCGTGAACAAAGAATAGTAACACCTCGCGTTTGCTCAACAAAAATACGAAGAGAATCACTTGTTGCATTGGTTGTATTCAGTGTCGGTTCGCGCGCTTTCTATGGTATCAGCTATGGAGTCGTAAATTCTTGCCAAGAAGTGCTATCGAGACGAAGTGAAATAAACCAAGCAAAAGTGAGGTCACTCACAATGGTGCAAATGGAAAACGACGTTTAGTGGGAGCAGGTGACCGACCAGGAATTTCTTTGATGAAGTCTTTTATCGAGGACTCGACTGCAAAGGTACGTGCACTGTTTGTACAGGTCGTGTTTGTCACATCCATTATAGCGATCTAGGCATTTTACAATGGCCCTGATATTTTAGCAACTTTTACGTTCTTATCCTAGCCAACGATGCTGAATCGAACGCTCTTTCGGAGTGGGGATATGAGGCCCGTTTTTTTCACTGTGTTTAGATTCTTTAATACCCACGTGTGGCTTGCTGGGGCCTGAACGTGGTTGCTGGGTATACTCACGAGTAGCTTGCCAGTAACTCAAAGAGTGGACATAGAGCTCATTAGCTGGAGGCGACTCCTAACCGCTTCCCGCACACTTTCCTGTCACTTGATTGCAGCACTTTAGCTGAATTGAGTCGTGGAATACAAGCAGCACAAGTGAGAATGCACCCACACACGTATACATGAATACTTCTCGTAAATACTGAAAGTATGAGCAAAATCGGAGCAGCAAAAACAGGGAGTTCATCTCCATCACCTGGATCGATCTGCGTCTCAGGGAAGCAAGCGTCGCTTCTGGTCCCCGATTAACCCCCTACCCGCCGACTGGGACGCGCCACGTAGGCTCGCGACTAACCGGCTCGAGATCCCACTTGTGAGCGAGATCCGTGGGTAAAGGCAAGAGGTCCTTAAGGAAGTTCCATTCAGCGGTCAAAATATAAAAAAAACGGGGTTCGAAGGCGGCAAATTCTCTTTAGTTCCGGGGCCAGTTCGGCAAATAAGTGCTCAGGAATGCACAACACCCCGTAGAACAACCAGGTCTGGTATGTTACGTAATCGCTGTATAAAAGTTCGTTTGATGTCCAGAACATAGATAAACTTAGTACAGTTTTAAATAGCCACTGTTCGTTTTCTCATATTCCTTCGTTGTAATTACTCCAGGGAAATAGATGGAGCATATGTCATAAATTTACAAGTAACTGTCCTATTCTGCAGCAGACAACCGTAATGCTATCGTCGAAACCTTGGCTGTTGTATCCTAATAAATTCTATACTACCAACCTCGTGTCTGCTTATTGAAGAATGAAACGGCGAACTATCAATCAAGGCCGACGTTTGTAGAAAGTCGATCTTCGGCTTTGCAGAAGGCTTTTAAATTTCATCATGCGAAGCATTTAGCCCCACTTCGTATCCTGGTAGACCCTGTATTACAATGAATAATCGACTGAGGACGCCTCATTAAGAGATATGTGGGACGGATAACAACAACAACATTATGTCACCTCTATCCCCTATAAACTCGATGATCACCGACTTATTTATTTGAGCTGGCAACCAAGAAATCCCCAATGGCAATTGACTGCCGCCAGAGTTGTTTACACAGTTGTGATCGCAGGAGAAACACGAATATATCATAACGGCTTTGCTCCGAGTCCTTTTAATCTCACCATTCTTGCCGAGAAAGCAGCCGCATGTGGCTCGTCAGAATTGGTATCCATACATTTGCTCTTGACTAGCTTACCAAATGGAAATGTCGAACTTCTCAGTTCTTCAGTTCTCAGTTCCCAGGCTTCTCTGATGATGAAGCTTCCACAGAGCACAGCATGGCAACATCGAAGTATTATATTGTTCAGGAATTAATGGGCGTCCTAAAACACTTATTGTTTTGTTTATATTGTGGGCTTACACGAAGTTAATATGAGGTTTTTATCCGGCTAACGTTTTGACGTCTTCGTCTTCATCAGAGCCGACGGTCCTTGTCGATGGTCCACAGCTGTTCCTGTTCTCGACATCGCCTCCTCGTCTCACATCGAACCGGATCCTCCTCAGTTGAGCATCTGGAATGAGCGGAACACTCGAAACGCTCTTTTATGCAGTGCGCTTGTTGTAAATATAGTTATCAATCGATGATAACCTGTTTTTCAACTAGTAATCCGCGCCATGTGCTATCTAACAAAATAGCGACTGTTGCAACGTGGATTGTCGGTTAAAAACAATTTATTATCAACTGATAGTCATTTCGATATCAACCGCCCTGTATAAAAGAGCGCAGCGGGTGCGATGGGCTCATTCGAGATGCTCAACTGAGGAGGAACCGGTTCGATTCTAAACTAAGACGCCACATCGAGAAGAACTATCGAGGTTAAACGACGGTCGGTTTAAAAAATTATTGTTTTAATGTATTTTTTACCAACAAATATTCTTTCTACCTTGCTTTATTGGTGAATCAACATTGCGAACACTGTTCCGGAAATTCCGCTCTAGTGATTTCGATCTCGAAGAAAAGAGAGGCCGCGAACGTCCCGGTGAACTTGACGACGATTTTAAGGAACTAGTGGAAGCACACACTCGAACGCCTACTCGAGAGCTTGCAGTACAGCTTGGCGTGGAAAAGGGAGCAATTTTTGCTCACTTGAATCGCAGAAAAAAGGCAAAAAATCTCGACAAGTGGGTGCCGCACGAATCAAACGATGATGAAAAAAGGCAACAAAACTTTGCTTTACCCGCCATGTTAAATGAGTTTTTCTTGCACCGACTTTTACCACTTGAAGGAAATTGACAACTTCCCTGCGCGAGAGCTTCTTCGCCAAGCAGGATGACGTAAAAATTCCCTTCAATGAATTCATCGCTTCTATAACTCGAAAATTTCATGCAACTTGAATGAAGAAAACATATTTTTATTTCGATTAATAAAGTTTTGCTTGATGATCAACCACTAGTGATGCGCCATGCATTCGATTTCATACAGTATTTTTAGAGGTGATTGAATGGATATCTGGCCTTTGGCCTACCGATATATCGGGCCATGCTGCAGTTTTCCCAGACAGGTCTGGTACCAATTTGAGGACTCCAGAGGGATGGGAAGCTTGGTGGGCCACGAGCCCGGGAATCGGATTCCACGTGGGTGTCGCAGTGGCGCTTCCAACCACTGAGCAACGCGCGGCCCCGTTTTGAGTAATATAGTTAAAAATGCTCATTTATTTCTGAACAACCTGAAATCTATCTGACAACAGATTACTAGTTCACTAGCAAATTCTAGTACTGGGATATTCACAATAGTGGCATTCGGCAAAGTGATAAAATGAATTTGATGTAGCTGCTTTCAGATCACTGCTCTACTACGTATCGTGGAATACGATACGATTTCAAACGAACACGTGCCGATGTTGCGTGGGCCCTCACGAATATGTCAAATTGTTAAGAAGAGATGGCACCCACAATTATTGATCAACTGGAGCTTAATCGATGGTTGCAATCGATTTTTTCGGCTCAGTTTGAGTTTATTGAGCATTTTGAGTTAAGTGAAACAAATCGAAGAAATTGTCCTTCCGTTAAACAAATGGGCGTTACTTAAAGGATCGTCTGCCACTCTTTTAATATGCAAACGGCATGCTATGGAGCAAAAACGTGAAATTTAGACGTGCCACTCGCGAAGAACACAGCTATAATACATCTTTGGAAATTATGTGATCACTGAGTATTTCCAGAGAGGTATTGACGTCTTACGAAACAGCTTAATATTCAGCACAGGAAACTTCACTTTACCTGTCAGGCACATTGCAACCAGCTGTGTTGGTTGCATGATGAAATGACGTCAAGCTGTAACCGTAAGAGGCTCATTACCGTAAGATTCCAATATTTAATCACCACTTAGATTACGCACTATCTTTAAAATACGCAGAAGAAACCACAGTTGTGTTGGTGATGGGGCCTTTAAAAGTCTTCAATGTCAAAAAAAATTTTGAACATAATATGAGTTTACTAATTGTAACCGTAACACTGGAATATTTTTAGTGCTTTCAGATTGAAGCACCCATATGATATGAGCGAAGTCAATCCGAAAATACGGAATTGGCATGTCTCTTCTGATGTGCGTTGCACATTGATGGTGGTGTTCAGAATGGAAGCATACGAATTTTGGTAGGAAATAATTCAAGTCGACGCTTAACTACAGGATAGNTCTTTTAATATGCAAACGGCATGCTATGGAGCAAAAACGTGAAATTTAGACGTGCCACTCGCGAAGAACACAGCTATAATACATCTTTGGAAATTATGTGATCACTGAGTATTTCCAGAGAGGTATTGACGTCTTACGAAACAGCTTAATATTCAGCACAGGAAACTTCACTTTACCTGTCAGGCACATTGCAACCAGCTGTGTTGGTTGCATGATGAAATGACGTCAAGCTGTAACCGTAAGAGGCTCATTACCGTAAGATTCCAATATTTAATCACCACTTAGATTACGCACTATCTTTAAAATACGCAGAAGAAACCACAGTTGTGTTGGTGATGGGGCCTTTAAAAGTCTTCAATGTCAAAAAAAATTTTGAACATAATATGAGTTTACTAATTGTAACCGTAACACTGGAATATTTTTAGTGCTTTCAGATTGAAGCACCCATATGATATGAGCGAAGTCAATCCGAAAATACGGAATTGGCATGTCTCTTCTGATGTGCGTTGCACATTGATGGTGGTGTTCAGAATGGAAGCATACGAATTTTGGTAGGAAATAATTCAAGTCGACGCTTAACTACAGGATAGCCCATTAGTAGAATATGGCAGTTGTATGTAGTTCAGTAAAATCTCATACACAGGCAATAACGCTGTTGACTAGTAAAAGTGGTAAATTGCATATCACTCTGTCCTTCCATTCTCTGAAGAAGGCGATTCTGCCGAAACGTCAGCTACGATTGTGTTGTGTGTATTATTGTATGGAACTAAACGTACGCTGTTTAACAACCTCGCGATTGCTGAGAGAGAAAACGACGAATTCAGCTGTCAAAACATAAAATGCCGGGGTTTACAGGTGGCAGGTGCTCTTTACTTCCGGCGCCGGTTCGGCAGAGAAATGCTTAGGAATGCACTTCATCCGCCAGAACATCCACTACTGAGAATTTGCGTAATCGGTGTATAAAAGTTAGTTTGATGCCTGGAACTTGGATGAGCTCAGCATAATTTTTAATAGCCGTCGTTCACTTTCTCGTTGCTTCAGCGAAATAGATGGAGCATATGTCATAAATTTACAAGTAATTGTCCTATTCTGCAGCAGACAACCGTAATGCTATCGTCGAAACGTTGGCTGTTGTATCCTAATAAATTCTATACTACCAACCTCGTGTCTGCTTATTGAAGGAAAAGAGCCAACTATCGATCAACGCCGACGTTTGTAGAAAGTCGATCTTCGGCTTTGCAGAAGGCTTTTAAATTTCATCATGCGAAGCATTTAGCCCCACTTCGTATCCTGGTAGACCCTGTATTACAATGAATAATCGACTGAGGACGCCTCATTAAGAGATATGTGGGACGGATAACAACAACAACATTATGTCACCTCTATCCCCTATAAACTCGATGATCACCGACTTATTTATTTGAGCTGGCAACCAAAAAATCCCTAATGGCAATTGACTGCCGCCAGAGTTGTTTACACAGTTGTGATCGCAGGAGAAACATGAATATATCATAACGGTTTTGCTCCGAGGCCTTTTATTCTCACCATTCTTGCCGAGAAAGCAGCCGCATGTGGCTCGTCAGAATTGGTATCCATACATTTGCTCTTGACTAGCCTACCAAATGGAAATGTCGAACTTCTCAGTTCTTCAGTTCTCAGTTCCCAGGCCTCTCTGATGATGAAGCTTCCACAGAGCACAGCATGGCAACATCGAAGTATTATATTGTTCAAGAATTAATGGGCGTCCTAAAACACTTATTGTTTTGTTTATATTGTGGCCTTACACGAAGTTAATATGAGGCTTTTATCCGGCTAACGTTTTGACGTCTTCGTCTTCATCAGAGCCGACGGTCCTTGTCGATGGTCCACAGCTGTTCCTCTTCTCGACATCGCCTCTTCGTCTCACATCTCGATGGACCGATAACAACGACCTCGGCATAGATAGTTGATATATTTATTTATGTGGTCTTATAAACTGATCTTCTTAAGCTGACGCGAGGTTGGTACAGGTCTTCGTTGTCGTTGTCGTTGTTTTTGATGTTATTGATCGATGGCTGAGCCTCAGGCTCTGAGGAAGGCGAAGTCGCTGAAACGTCAGCCATCGATCAATAATATCAAAAACAACGACAACGATAACGAAGACCTGTACCAACCTCGCGTCGGGTTAAATTTTCAATACCAATTTTGAGCTTTGCAATTTCATACGCCTTAAACGAATTTTCGTCAAATTTTCTTTTGTGAACTCGAGTTCGGTCGTCGTGCAGCAGAAATGGTTCGAAACATTAATGAAGTCTGGGCTAAAGGTAGTATTGGTGAATCAATTTTGCGAACACTGTTCCGGAAATTCCGCTCTGGTGATTTCGATCTCGAAGATAAGGGAGGCTGCGAACGTCCCGGTGAACTTGACAACGATTTGAAGGCACTAGTGGAAGCACACACGCGAACGTCTACTCGAGAGCTTGCAGTACAGCTTGGCGTTGGAAAAGGGAGCAATTTTCGCTTACTTGAATTGCATCGGAAGAAAAAAAACTCGACAAATGGGTGCTTGACGAATCGACGAATCAACCATAATCAAACGTTCAACTCAATGGTTGGATTTCGACCAGGCACCACAGCACGTCCTGAAGCAGAAGTTGCACAAAAAGGGTTATAATGACTGGTGGTCTGCAGCCAGGCTGATTCATCACGGCTTTTTGAATCCGGGCGAAACGATTACGGCAGAGAAGTATTGCCAACAAATTGATTAAATGCACCCTAAACTCCAACAACGACTGACATTATTCAGCAGAAAGGATCAATCCTTCTCCACGACAGCGCCCTTCTTGACGTTGCGGAACCAGCGCTGAAGAAGGTCAACGAGTTAGGCAACAAAACTTTGCCTCTCACTCCATGTTTACTAGGTTTTCGTTCTACTAACTTTTCCCTCTTCAAGAAACTTGACAACTTTCCTACGTGAGAAACTCTTCACTAATAACGACGAAGCAAAAATGTCCTCGACGAAGTTATCGCTTTTAGAACCTAAGAGTTTCATGAAATTTGAATAAGCTAAATTTATTTTTATTTTTGTTAATAAAGTTTTGCTTGGTGATCTATACGTGAGGGATGCGCCATGCATTCAATTTCATTAAGTATTTTTGTAGGTGATTGAATGAATATCTGGCCTTTACAATGACTCGCGGTGGCTTGCCGATTTATTGAGCCAGTGCTGTTGTCCTCCCAGAGAAGTCTGGTACCAATTTGCGGACCCCGGAAAGATGGAAGGCCTGACTGGCCACGGGCGCGGGGATCGGATTCCACGTGGGTGTCGCAATGGCGCCTCCCAACCACTGCGGAACGCGCGGCTCCATTTTGAGTAACATAGTTAAAAACGCTCATTTATTTCTGAGCAACCTAAAACATATCTGGCCACAAATTGCTAGATCGTTAGCAGATGCTATTAATGGAGCCACAATAGTAGCGATCGGCAAAGTGATGAAATGAATTTGATGTAACTGCTTTCAGATCACTGGTCTACTACGTATCGTGGAATACGATACGATTTCAAACGAAACACGTGCCGATGTTGCATGGGCCCTCACGAATATGTCAAATTGTTAAGAAGAGATGGCACCGACAATTATTGATCAAGTGGAACTTAATCGATTGGGTAACAATCCATTCCTTTGAATCAATTTGAGTTTATTGAGCATTTTGAGTTAAGTGAAACAAATCGAAGAAATTGTCCTTCCGTTAAACAAATGGGCGTTACTTAAAGGATCGTCTGCCACTCTTTTAATATGCAAACGGCATGCTATGGAGCAAAAACGTGAAATTTAGACGTGCCACTCGCGAAGAACACAGCTATAATACATCTTTGGAAATTATGTGATCACTGAGTATTTCCAGAGAGGTATTGACGTCTTACGAAACAGCTTAATATTCAGCACAGGAAACTTCACTTTACCTGTCAGGCACATTGCAACCAGCTGTGTTGGTTGCATGATGAAATGACGTCAAGCTGTAACCGTAAGAGGCTCATTACCGTAAGATTCCAATATTTAATCACCACTTAGATTACGCACTATCTTTAAAATACGCAGAAGAAACCACAGTTGTGTTGGTGATGGGGCCTTTAAAAGTCTTCAATGTCAAAAAAAATTTTGAACATAATATGAGTTTACTAATTGTAACCGTAACACTGGAATATTTTTAGTGCTTTCAGATTGAAGCACCCATATGATATGAGCGAAGTCAATCCGAAAATACGGAATTGGCATGTCTCTTCTGATGTGCGTTGCACATTGATGGTGGTGTTCAGAATGGAAGCATACGAATTTTGGTAGGAAATAATTCAAGTCGACGCTTAACTACAGGATAGCCCATTAGTAGAATATGGCAGTTGTATGTAGTTCAGTAAAATCTCATACACAGGCAATAACGCTGTTGACTACATCTTTCACTTGGCTGCTGAAACGCTACACCGTGTGGACAGATGTTGCTCTCCATTGCCTCGCAGTGTTATCACTTATTGCAGACGATAGGCAAACAGGAACACGGGTGAACATCACTATTCTTCTTCTCTTTGGCAAAAAATGCTCGCAAGACTCTCTAACAAGTTCCTTTTGCTACGTTTTTTATATTCGCTCCATTTCTGCATAGAAACCATTCCTCCTAATGTTCGCTCAGACTGCTATCCTACTCAGGGAACTGCGTTTGTTGGATTTGGTATTTGAAATTTCCGATTCGGTAAGCGTCATCGTTACTCGGTGTACGTTTAAATTGAGTGTCAGTATTGCGTTTGTCATATACGAAAGAGTGAATATTTGTTATCACGCTGATATCTGAAAGATTGCCAAGACTATGTCCACAGTCCATAGCGAATCATGTAGTTCGTAGATGATAGCCTAGAAAAATTAGCGAGACCTCATATCTTTGCACGATTTTATGGCACTTGAAAATCACTCATAGGTTATCACCACAATTCGCCACTCTTTTGTTTCAGTACGTCAGGCAACTTCATCCTGCTGCACTTTGTGTACTAGGCGACATCACCAGTGGTAACGACACACATAGAGAAGTGATTGTCTCACACCCACAACTTTACGACATTTTGGTAGGCTTGTTCGTTTCGAGTAAAGCCCTTAGTATCGGAAATAGGTGATGTTTACCAGTGCGTGCAAGGAACTCGATGGTAGAGACGTGAAAAATCACACGAATTTCTCGCGAAATCAAGCTCAGAGACAGGCTTTTATCTTCGATTGCGTAGGAAAGCAGTGGATGTTGCCAACGATTGGCACTCGAAAGAAGGATGTAGTTGTTCCGAACTGTACCGAATTACGTGCCTTTTTGACTGTCAGCAACGAAATCCGTTGTTATTCACTGGTTACTTCACCGCTTGACGATATTCTTACAGGCTGAAGCGCTCGATTTCCAGAGCTCTTTTCTACTAATCAGGAGAACGTTTCTTTTGAAGTCCTGAAATGGCACCTGGGCTAGAACCTCTTCAGATGATGATCACATGTGTCAGTGTTGATGGGACTACGATTTCCTGAACTTGTCACTATATTCCTTTCCATTCGGCACGAAGCCATTCCCATCAGAAATTTAGTTCGGAGGAAGGCCTTTAACAATTTCTTTCCATAGACGACACTTCTGCAATGCAAACCATTCCCAGTATACCACAGTTCCATACTCACGGGCACTAACTATTTGCCATATAAATGACAAGGAATAAGACATTTGATATGAAGGTTTACTTCATGACTGTTTCACTAAAGCTATCATCTTTAGACGTTGCGATTTCTTGAAGAGATCTTCGCAATGATTTTTCAAAGTAAAATCGCTCCTGCATAACTTTTTATTTACCGTTTTATTGTTTTTTTTTAACGTAAGTTATTATATAAAATATGACAACAATGATGCTGAGATATTCCAAAAACTCCGAGCGGCAGGTGTCTGTAGCCGGAATCGAAAACGGTATTACCCCTTCCGTGGGCTAACGCGTTCGCCACCACACGATGCATATTTCTTGTTTTACCTTTCTCTCAGTGGTTTCGACTGCAGATTTAGCTTAACTGAGTTCTAAGCCGATTTCTGCTTTTCATGCCAATCCTTCTGTCGGGTGATTGCTGAAAGCAATTATAAAACACGGCCGCGAGAAAGGCGAAACGAAGTATTCGCATGGTGTTGTGGTGAACACATTTGTCCTCTCCTCGAACGTGGTAATAGTATGTTCGATCGCTACCGCTGGCACCTGCTGTCAAGAGGTTTGTATATACTTCAAAATCGCTTCTATTCTTCCATCTGAGATTCTCCTTCCAGAGGCGCTCTTTATCCAAGGAATCTCCCATCGATGTGCTGCCGCTCAGCTAAGTGTGAATATCCTGCCCGAACACCTGCATGTGGGCGGCTTTTAAAGGAATTTGCATTTTTCGCAAGGTTTTTTCCTCTTCTTTTGCGTTCGCGTGCGTTTTTAATTGGTCTTAAAATGCTTGACTTCTCCTTTTTCTTCTTAACATCCACCACATTTTGTTAAGACATCTATATGAGGCAGATCTCACGTCTTTCGAGCAAACACGCCGTTTTTACGTAGTTTATCCGAGGCTAAACGAGAATTTTGTTAGATGTTCAAATTCAGGTCTATTTAGTTCCTGTTCGAAGATCCGAATGTGGATGCAATGCTCTTGAAAGATGCAGAATCGTCAGAGAGTGAAATCAATAGGGTCAGTTAGCAAATTTTCTTACCACACTAGTGACTTACTGAAAAAATATTTCGTACAGTCAACTTTGGGAAATAGCATGGTTCTGGTTAGATCTGACAATCGCGTTCGAGACAATCATGCCAACCGTCTCAGATTATGTAAAACAAAACCAACTCACGTTGACTTGATAAAATCCACAACAATCCTCTGTGTTTGAACCACTAATGAGGAAATGATACCTTGCGGAAATGTTATCAATGTGGCCATTGTTTAATCCTACATTCGTCTAGGAAGCATACCCTTCCAGCAGTTTGAGGCTTCATCGTAGCCGGGGTGTTTTACCAGCTTCGAAACTTCGATTTACGCTGAAAGTTTCATGAACAGACCCGTTAGTTCGACTGTGGAAAGAAGTTCTACACCGAAATGCACATGCCACAGAAACGTTTCCATCTTGAGAAAAGCCTACTAAGACGATGTGCCTCCATGCGTATCACAACCGTTTCGGACTGTTTGTAGTAACGATCCAGGAAAAGCTTGATGCAGTCACCAGGAAACCTTACCCAAACTACAATTAATCAAGTGGAATTTGTGTTGGAGAATCACATAATTTTTAGCAAAAGTGACACTTCAACTATTCAGCCAGTCTTTCAAGTCATTAAAGCTCATAACATTAAAGCATGAACAAACATAGGCCCTTGATTGGCTCTTCCACATCTTAACACTATTTTAGGATTGCATGCGAGCAACTGTTAATTTGCTTATTCATACCAGTTGTGATAACATCACACCGATGATGGCATCTGGTACTATATCTGTTTTTCGTAGAAATTTCTTAAAATGGCGATGGGTGAAACTAAAGAAAAAACTGAGCCAGAAGCACATGTGGCTTTGAGTATGGGGAGCGCCACTTGTATGCTCTGGGACCTCTCGTCTTCTTCAATATACATTAGAGGTTCTCTGCAGCTCCAATTCTCCTTGGGGACATATCCAGTAGTGGATTACCAATAACTTCCGGAATAGATTTTTGACTTATCTACCTTATTGTTTTGTTTATTAGCGATAGTTGGACGAGCCATCGTGTCCTACAGCGCTGACATGCTCTCTAGGAGGATCTGGTACTAATGCAGGAGAATTATTGCACGTATACGAAAGATAATGCGAGTTCAGCGAGCGGTTAGAGTTTCTCTGCATTACACACGTATTCGTTGGTTCGATCACGACTAAGCTGTCACGGGTCGTTAAATTGGTATAGAGTTTGTATGAGCGTAGAAACGCTGGCCATGTTCACCGACAGGCCCATCGTAAGCCATTATTTGTGCCAAATATGAATTTAATCACCTCTGCGCTGTTCAGTGAAGTCGAGTGGATGAAGTATTGTTCAGAAATTGATAAATGCGGAGCGCTTAGTCGTCTATCTTTCCATTCGAGAGATATAAGCGAAACTGCCATGGTGAAGGCTATTGGTTTGATAGACGCTCTCTAATTGCCCTTCTGTGAGGACGTTCCAGATAGTTTATGATAACCACTTATGTTAGGCCACTGATGACTGTAATGTGATTTTAGGTGTATTCTTTCTCTTCCCAAATCGTCTGTCAACGTCAGATTTGGAACTAACCAGACGAGCGCTGGAAGCGATGCATTCCCTACTACCTGAATATCAGGAACATCCTATGCTTACCGTACAAAGATGTTGGATCTGGTTAAACCAGGTTTTCTTAAAAATGATGTGGATCTACAAGTAAGGATAGCAGACTGATGGTAAACGGTCGTTGACCGATTAATTCGTAGTGGTATCAAATATTGTTGATATTTTTAGGAGTTGAAAAGCGAGGTACAGACTTGCATAAACGCCAGAGCAATACCAATTTTCTCGAAAATGATGTGGATCTACAAGTAAGGATAGCAGACTGATGGTAAACGGTCGTTGACCGATTAATTCGTAGTGGTATCAAATATTGTTGATATTTTTAGGAGTTGAAAAGCGAGGTACAGACTTGCATAAACGCCGGAGCAATACCAATTTTGCGACCATGTACTTTAACATTTGTAGATTAAAGTAGAGCTTGCAATTTGTTAAGAGTCCAGTAAAAATGGTCTTTCAAAGCGTTGTTAGTGCACTACCATTATTGTCACCATGTACTTTCGCATTTGTAGAATAAAGTAAAGTTTGCCATTTGTTAGGAGAGTCGTCAAAAATCCAAAGATGAAGTGGAAAGACGAATGCCTCACTAACACACGTGACCTGGCGCCTTCTATAACTTCTATAGTCTTCTATAACTTTGTTGTTGAAGAGCTAGCTGAGAGACAGGCAAAACGAAGGACACAGATGGTGTGGTGGTGAAGTGTGCTGCTCTCCGGTAAGGACAACAGCACGTATTCGTTCCCCACCGCATACACCTGCGGTCCGGAGTTTTGCAAATAACTCAACATTACATACGAGTTATATTTCACAACATGCGATGCCATTAAAAAGAAAAGGCAGTAAATAAAAGGGTGAAGACTTTAGTATTATAATAGATTAGGAAGGCCCAATGGAAGTGAGTACAGAACAAAAAATATCGAAGTTTGAAATCGAAATGAGACTGGAGGCTGCGGACGTCCTAACGAACATGACGACGACGAATTGAACGCGGTAGTAGGAGCAAACATGCGAACAACTGTTCCAAATCATGCAGAACTTGATCGATTTGTGACGTACGACGAGAATGGAATCTGCAAGAACCCGGGGCAAAAGTTGCACAAAAAAAGACTTGCTTCTAGATGTCTTTATTCCAGGTTTCTATAGTCTTCATGTGGATTTTACAGTAAAGGGAAATTTCAGTTAAGAATGGATGTAAAAGGCGTTTTGCAAAACAAGAGATGCAAGCCCCACAGTTAATGGTCTGCACTGTGCTTCCGCGAATCTAAATGCTATCCGTGATTCAGAGGGATAAAATAGACCTTGCTTCGGCCACTTCCTGCACATCACCAGATAACCAAAGAATTTTATTTGTTCAGACAGTCAGACATTTGTCAACATTTTCTTCTTCTGACAACCGTCTCAGTAAAGTTTGCTGCCCAGTTCCACCAACACATATAGCAGAATTGTGGGTTTGTTTGTTCTATGCGGTGTGATGGCTGTTATTGCTGTTTGGGCTAGAAGACAGAGTAAAAGTCGGTGTAGGGCACCCCGTTCTATTCTTGTGCGGTCTGAAATTTTGTGGAGCCCACTGATAAATCGTTCTATGAAAGCGAAGGGTGCTACGGTAATTCGCAGCTGAACGACTCTACTAATCAAGGACAATGGTATAGCTTATCGAACACAACCGAGGAGTGCAGGTTTCAAGTTTTGGTCCTGGTTTCACTGATAACAAGGCGAAACTACCAGTGAAAGCAATGATTAAGTGAAATGAAGGAAGACAGGGTCATGCGCGGCTTATTCGCCCAAAGTGTGATTTGGTGTTGTTGGCGACTGATACATGTGCT